ACGACGGACGTGAGGGGTGCTAATATCTTCCCCTTGCGTAACCGACTCCCGAATCCAGACTTGGTTGCGATGACCTCGTCTTTCCCTTTTTCGTCAAGTTTTTCCGATCGTTTCCTTTCCCTCTCTGTGGGATAAATAACGAAAGGTGGCGACTCTTCTGTTTTTCCGCTGGGTGCTTTTCGCAGTAGCGACACTGGGTGTGAAAGAGGAGGATGAGTGTACTTGCAAGGCACTCTGATGCTAAAGTAAGAAAACGAGCAAGAGAGTGAGCAAGTACAAAATATGTATGTTTCAAGATTTTTATAATACCCCCAACGCTTGGCCATTGGTCCCTATTTTCAGGGCGAGATAACTGTTTTCCGAAGAATAGATAACTACCAGAAATAGTCGTTGGGATGGACAGACGTGCCCATAACTATTCGTTGGGACGGACAAAGGTATAGTTACGGGCACATACGTCTTTGCTGTTTCTGAATTGTGGAACCGTGCGTGACGGGAAGAGACTAACGGGGAGGAGTGTTGTGACCAAGGGTAAATAGGTCAGCCTCCCCTGTTGGAGAGGCAGAAAGGTAAACTCTCCACCAAAGAGGTTGGACTTAGGCAACAGGGTCGTTTTGGGAGCAGAAGTGGATAGGGTCATGCCTAGCCATCGGGTCAGTCCGAAACAATTTTCTTGTATGTGTTTTTTTTTTTTTGCATGTTTGTAATTTGTTCGTTTTTGAACTATATTTTGTGTGTTTTGGATATGTAGTATTGTACCTTTAATCCCTTCATTTCTCAATTAGTTAGAGTGTTGATATTGTGTGTCCTTTTTTAGACTAGCAAGTTGATTTTTTTTTTCTTTTCATCAAGTAATGCTCGAATCACAAGTTATAACACTTAAATCAAGGTATTGAGTTGTTTGAGTCAAATCATGTACATTGTGTGACTCGAATCATACAATTTATGAAAATTGGATTTTGGCGATGTGTAATTTGATTCAAATCACAAGTTTAACTTTACTTGAATCACAACTTTCCATGAAAGTAACAATTTGGATCTGGCAGATTTGATTCGAATCATGAAATACAAGTGACTCGAATCAGACATTGAATGACTCAAATCATGGTTTGCTCTTGACTCAAGTTATGGGTTTAAATAATTATTCGAATCATGACCTCAAAATTCCAAATTCCACCTTACATTTAAATAGTTGTTTCTTTGATTAAAAAATAAGAATATCTCATTATGAATTTTTTTCATAATGAAAGAAAGATAAAAGTTTTGTTAGACAAAATGACAATTTCTCTTTCCTTCTCTAGTGTGTCTATTCTAATCACCTTTGTATCTTTTTCTTGTTTTAAAAAACAACTTCTTAAGTGTGATTCTTGTAAAATTACATCTTCTCTTTGTTACACTTTGTGTGTCTAATTTGTTGTTGAGGAAAATCAAAGAAAGTGAGTTGATCAATCTTGTAATGATTCAATTTTGATCAATCTCATGATAACTATTAAAAACCAATACCTTTTTACCCACAAACTTGAGAGAACCTATGTATGTGTTTTTTATTCACCAACATTTATCTCCTTATTAATACTTTGTGATTAACCTCCTAGAATGTGGATCCTGTGAGAATTAGAGTGTATGTGTGAGATTCTTTTGACACCGTTCATCATCTTCAATATTAGTCCAAATCCAGTGTTATTGACCCTCATCTTTAAAGATTGAATGTTTGAGGGAGACTAGTGGTACATAATGGTATCTAATATTTTCGTGTGAAGTTTGTTGTTTATAACAGGTACAAGAATCATTTCTTGAATGCGGTTTGGACGTTGTGTTATCTACTAAGAGAAGAGTTTTTATTATACTTCATGGAAGACTTTGATGAAGTTGAGTACAAACTGTTTGTAAAACGAAGTTGAAAGTTGTCCAACTTTAATTAAATCATGTAAAGACTATTTATAAGACGCAGTTCAAAATTGTCTAGTTAAACGCTTAGCTAATAACAAACACTCAAACAAGTCTTCGTTAAATTCTGTAAGAAATACTGCAGAAAAAAATTTGGAACAAATTATTTTGAAATAGAGTATCACTACATTCAACACTTTTACAAAATACTTTGTATATTTTTCCGGTAAAAATTGGTTGGAAACAAAGTAACTAATGTTTATTCTCGACATTAAACCATCTAAAAACTCAAAGACAATTTCCTTTCATCTTCAAAATTCATAAAATAATAGTTTTTGTCAATTTTTATAAATAAAATTTAGTTCAAAACTCAATAAAAATACAACAAATGAATCTCAACCAATTTTTTTATCAATCATACCACAAATCACTAATGAGAGTCTACATTTGTGATGGATAACAATGATGATTCGTCAATGAATTCAACATAAAATTCACCAAAATACAATTATAACTTTGTCTATCAAATTGTCAATGTTTTCGCCACTAACTTATAAAAATATTCAGTCAAAGTTAAAAATTTCTCAAGTTAGATGAAAACTCAATCTTAATGCACCATGCGACTAAGAGTAATAAAAAAATGAGAAAAATCTAAAGAGAAATGTGATGCACGATAAAACAACCTAGAAAAAAAATATTAAATTCTCTTTAAAGAGATGCCAAAAAATCTTTAAAATGAGAAATTAAATTCATCAAAATGATAACTTTTATTTTCATTACGTTGAGACACCATACCATCAAGTCAATTTTAAAAATTAATTTTTTTATCATAGATTAATTATTACTCTAGCTAATACTGATCAAAATACTCTAATAGATTTTCATGATTCTCTAAATTCTTTAATATTTACAAATGTTTATCTCACATGCTCTCAAGAATACCATCCTGTTCACCAAAGAACTATCCAAACCCCATGTTCTAATACTAAAAATCTTACTACACAAGATTCTCATTCTATTAAAATACAAAATAAATTACTAGAGCATGGATCGTGTGGTGCACGGGGTTACATAGTAATATATTTTATTTATAAAAGTTATACTTACAAGGATAAACCATGATTCCCACTGTCAATACAAATGTACAAATTCATCCCTCCAATCATAGCACAACATATAGGTTTAGGATACAAATTCATCCAAACCCTAGTCCCAGAAGTGTTCGCGATCCAGTTTGAATCGAATAGTATTCGTGAAATTTATTCTAACTCAGATGAAATTTTGGAGTCCAATTCACTTAAACATTTTAATTGAGACTGACTCATAGACATTTAGTGATACATAGTAATGCCTCATAAATTACTTAGTGATACATTACTACTTAATTATATTCTAGTCTTCAAATATTTCTCAGGGAGTAGGTTTATTTGATTTTCCTTAATTGCTTCAAAATAATTTTTGTCATACATAATACATATATTACTCATTCACACCAATAAAGACTCAGCAAAAGAATCTAACATTTTTTCATGATTCTCTTCATTCTTTAATAGCTGCAAGTACTCTTCATACAATTTCTCAAGAAAACCAGATTGGCATTCCATCTCATTGTTGTTGACCAAATCTTCATGGAACTGTTCTCCAAAGAACAATCCAAACACATCATTTTCTCCCTCTTTTGTTTCTTCTCTTTGCTCTTTTTCCTCTTGGCTTGTTTTTGCTGAGTTGGATTCCATGTTTACGGTACTATCAGTTCTTGGTATTATACATGATAAACTCTTCTTGACCCTTATTGCCTTTGGTAGATAAACTAATGTCTTCTTCTCTGATTCTTCCGGTACTTTCGCTATGATTTTGTTCTTTTTGCTCTTTTCGTTCTTTTGCTTCTTTTTCTTCTTGTCCTCTGGTTGTTCTTGATTTTTGAGCTTTTTAATGAGATGCGTGTTCCAGTAATTCTTGATCTCGTTATCCGTTCTTCCCGGTAATCTTCCTGCGATAAGAGACCATCTATTACCGAGAAGCGAATGCATTCTTATAATAAGATCATCTTCATCAGGAGTTATGTTTCCTCTCTTTATATCCGGTCTTAGATAGTTCATCCATCGAAGTCTGCAACTTTTTCCGCATCTCAGAAGCCCTGTGTCAATGACCAAACAATATATTCGTAACGTTAGTTCAGCTCGTCCGAGTTAAAGAAAGGATCAAGGTTCAACCATAACTAATAAACTTTGAAGACAAGGAAGAAAAAAAAACAGATTAAATTACCAGCTCTTTTTGGAAGTGATCTCCATTGGCCTTCTCCGTGAGCTTGAATATATTTGGTGAGCAATGCATCTTCGCGAGAAGTCCACGGACCTCGATGCAACCCAACTTTTGAACAACAAGGAGCTCTTCCCATCTTTGTCTGAAGAGAAGAAATATAGATATTGAAGCAGGCTTATACCAGCTCAGATCATGCTTCCCAAATTCAACTTTGTTCTCTTTTTAAATGTTGGAAGATAGCTATACCAGCTCTTAGAATAATACATTAAACTCATGGATCATGACATTGTGGTGGTTGAATTTTAAATGATTAACTGAGTTGAAAGCCAGCAGTGGCTATATTCTGTTTGACCTGTTCCAATTTCATAGGTAGATGCTCTAAATTCACTTGCTGAGATTGGGCCAGCAGCTTTCTGACGATTCCATTAATGTCAGGCCCAAGCCCATTAGACAAAGCCCAAATGAATAGCTATTACTTAATAAACTCTTGTATGCATAAAATGAAAAGCAAAAACAAAATAGTAACTTGCATTATTAGTAACTCAGAAGTTTACAACTGATCACATTCCAAGTCATTACATGTTATAGTATATGCTAAAGTGACATAAACTAGGAGGAAAATAAGGGCCCCTATTGATTGCTTTCTCAACTCAAACTTTAATGACACAAATCAGGTTGCAATAATTTATCATCTCAGCGACGACAATAACACATATTCAACTTTCACACTACGTATTTGTGTCTAATAAAATAATTGGGGGATGAGTACAAAATTTATATTGTGACATTGAATCAAGCCCGGCTTCTAAAGTCTGAACTCTTGCGATAATTGGCAGAGAGGTTACACGGCTTCAAAATGCTGATCCGCTACCCTTGGACTTTCCAAGCATCATGTCTTTTGCTTCATTGATTTTGGAAGCAAGATAATGGCTGCCACCAGCATCTGGATGGTTTGCAACCATCACTCTTCGATGTGCTTCTTTGATCTTATCTGTGGGAGTGGTCTGTCTGTCACATTGACAATTGAAAATCAGCAAGCGAAGGATGAAAATGTTTATGGTAAATTTTTTGTCAAGGGCGTGATTAGAACATAATTCAATAATCATCAATAAAATTACATTACAATACATAAGAGGGAAAATACAGGCAAAGGGAGAGGGACAAAGGATTCAACACCCAACATGAATATCTAAAATGTGAATACCATTTACCAATCCGGAAGAAGAAAACTAAATAACTTTTAGGAATATGAAAATAAATTCATAAATCATGGTTCATTTTATTCATAGAGACTGGATACAATACCGCATGGCACCTATCTATGCAGCAGATTACATATAACAACATAAAATCAAACATACCGCATTTTAATCCTGAGAAGTACTAAAATTGAAAATTATGAAATCAATATTAATAAGTTCCTAATTTCAAGTACACTTGATATTCCATGAAACCAGCCATAATCAGAAATAGTACTTTTCTTCAATTTACATTCATTCAGGATATAAAACATTAAAGCTTAAAATCAGTAGACAGTACAAAACAACAGTCTACAAATTACAGAAGCTATCTGAATCGCAGAGTAACGAGAAAGATGGAAAGCAAAATATGGAAAACCAGCACAAAACTTTAAATTCAATCACATAAACAATTCTGCTCTTCTTTTCAATTGAACAAAGAAGTGCACTTCCCAAGTCACAAGTTGCAATAGGAGCAGAGTCATTTCAAAGTACAATCACATGATTTACAGTAAAGAAAATTAAAGAGGAAGGAATAGCAAATCAAATGGACAAGAATTAGTTCTAGGTTATAAATTATTTTCTTGATTTCTCAGCAATTTGAATCAGTTTGAAGGTATGAACAATTACAAAACTAAGAAAATGAACATCATAGTGGTCAATCCTATTTTAAAGTGTGAAGCAGCTGACCCGCAAAATGATAGACACACACAAGATAGATAATTTATACCAATATCATATATATAAAAACTCAAAGATCTAACATTCAAAATTAATAATCAGACGTCAAAATATAAACTGACAATCTCCATCAATCTCATGCAAAATTAATAAGTCCACAACAAGAAAAGCAATGTAATTGTGGTGTAGTGAATGATGGCATGGCTGTCGAGAAATGATAATATAAGAACAAAGGAAAGACAAGTAGCTAACTAATAAATAATGGAATCAATTAACAGAAAAAAGAAAAGCAGATAACATCGGACATGTGACAAAACAAATTATGAGAATATGAAATGTAAAGTGTGGAGGAAGAACAAAACAAAGTGGCCCTATGATTTCCACATTAGCGATAACCTAACCATAGTTAACAGAAAACAGGTATCAGCAATTAGGAAATGCGAGGGACCCAAAACAAACAAACAAAATTGCAGGGACTAAAACTAGAAGAGAAGATACTTGCAAGGACTTGAAACGTTTTTAAGTCATGAATGAATTCATATCCAAAAGAAAAGGTGACAAACAATGATACATTCTTTCGTTAAACAAAACCAATAATATCATGCTAGTTTATTCTAAGTTATTGTTACAATGACCTTCACACAATCAATCAATACCTTCATATCTTACAAAACAAAAATGACAGTACCTAACACCAAGTATAAGAGCTGCTTCCCTCCTAGTCATAGTAGGCTGAAAACCACCTTCATAAAATTTACGCAATGCAGGTGGTCTAGCTTTGAACGCTTGCCAGGCCTGAATACCAACTTTACCGGCATATGCTGCAGCAGCCACGGCTATCCCTGCCATTAAAGGTGTAGCCTGTTCCAAATTTCAATTTCACAAAAGAAACACAACTTGAATGTCAACAAAATTTCAAAAGCACTCCTAATAGGTCAAACCCTTCAATAATCCTGGTAACATAAAAAGGTGCATATGGCCAGGACAACTAAAATCCAAAATATGTTAATCCATACAATAAGGGTCTGTTTGGATAAACAACTTATTTGGAGTTTATAGCACAAATGCTTATCAAAATAAGCAATTATGAAAAACCTTGCATAAACTATTTTTCTAACAAAAGATTAAATAAATTTAAATTATTTTTATGTGCTATAAATTGTTTTCATAAATCATCTTTGATAACTTATAAAAATAAGCTCAAAACAGGTTATGAATAATGCTATAAGCTGTTTTAATAAGCTTTTCCAAACATTGTCACAACTTATGGACCCATATATTCTACCAAAACTTATAACATAAGATAAGCTCAAATAAACCAATCCAAACAAGCAGGTATTATTCTCGGCATCCCCATATTCCACTATATATTAATAATTAATCAGCTCATATGATTGTATTGTAACTTAAACAACAAATAAAAAAGAGTCAACAAGTGTCCGATTGAATTGGCTTTTTTAAGCTTATCGATAGCCATAAACATTTGTCCATAAGTTGTTTTCAGCTTATTTTCATAATCTCTCCAAAATAGCTTATGAAAGCAGCTTATATGTAAACAGCTTAACTCTATCTAATGTAATAGCTTACACATAAGCACTTAATTAAGCTGTTTAACCAAACAGAAGCTAAGTATGTCAATTTAGCTTCTGGTTTCAACATATCAATGCTAAACCTCATTCCCAAACCCTCTACCACCCTCCCAACAAAATTGACAAAAAAATTGAAAACATTAAAAAGCTAATCTAACATTCACAAAGAGATAATGGATAAAACGTTCGACATGTATGAGAAGGGAAAAAAAAAAGCATTTTGGAATCGAAAACTTAAAGGGGAGTGGGAAAATCATAGGGTTTTTGTTGTTTATGAGACTACAGACATAACCAGAAGGAGTAACGTGTTTAACGAAGAAAGGCTTACCATAATTTGAAAAGCTTGGCAATTGAAAATGGAGAATTGGAAATAGAGTTGAAGAATAGAATGAACCGAAATTTGAGTTTTTGATTTTGAAATTGTTTGATTCGCAAGTCAATATTGTTTTCTTGAGAGAGAAAGGGAAGAAAAAGGTAGGGTTTGTTTTAGTAAACAAGACGGGTGCTGTGGGACAAAACAGGGGGTACTGGAAGTAGTCTCATACCTCATTTATTGTAAAGGTCTTCAAAATTGTTGCGGGTTTGAGAGAATTGATACTGCCACCGTGACAGTTTGACAGGACACTTCCATATATTTTCTTAATATTTATATCGGTAATACTAACTTGTGTTACACAAGTTAACTAGGACCCAAGTTAATTAAATATAAAAATAATATTTTAAAAATTATGTACTGCTTTAAATAAAAATAAAAAATTAAATTTTGTATTGATGTTTTTTTAATACAAATTTTTTATAAATATGTTTTTTAACTTGTGACTCTAAAGTACAAGTTAGCATTATCCTATTTATATTATTTTTGTCAAAATTTTATAAAAAAAAATAAAGATAAAAAATTTGGCAAAATAAATTTTAAAAAATACAGTATAAATTGAAATTTTTGATAGACAAGTATGTATTTTTATTGATTTAAAAAAAAAATTTAACATATTTGATTTTTTTTTTTATAAATCTGGTATCTTGGTTAATTTTTTGAATTTCTGAAAAATCGATAGTTCATATTTAATAAAAAAAATTAACAATATCAGATTTTTTGAAATGTTTTTTTGTAATTTATTGGATTTTTCAAAAAAATTAATAGTGTTAAAAAAAATTGCCTATAGAATACTAATTACTGATATTTTTAAAAATCTGAAAAACTAAAAAACATGTTGAAAAATCTCATATTTCTTCAAACATTTACTAGAAATCAATGTATTTTTATCGAAAATTTTGAAAATATCTAGTATCTTTTCATAGAAACGCAAAAAATCTAGTATTCCTTTAAAAATATGATATTTTACTAAACTTTTAAAAATCTAAAAAATATTTAGTAAGTGCATAAAGGTAGCATCAACCCTCATGTTAGGGTGTTGTTGGTTGGGATTTCGACACTCATTAATATTGGAAGTAAGTTGAGAGATTTCAAGGTCATATTTGAAAAAGAACATGATGAATTCGACAACAAATAGTGACAAGGATGTTTTGACGCAATGAAGATTTGAAATAGGCTTTTGAAGTTTGAAGAATCATTGTTTGAGGGGAACAATGTACGCTTCGACATGGAAATGGTGAAGATCTAGTCGAAGAAGTCTTAGCATAGGAGACGCTGTTATTTAGGACTTAGAAATATTTTGGCATAGATTGGAGTTCGACGAAGTCCATTAGAAGAGCGTTCGGAGGATGGAGTTCAAATGAGGTTGGTAACTATCTTTTGGCCTTATCTATTTCTTAGGACACATGGAGGATTTTGAGGCGGCGAAGTGCATGCAGTGGAGAATGTGGTGCATTTTGGCGAAATAATCGTTAGATGACGGTTATTTTTTATTTATTATAAGTAGAACGATTAGCATTTAGAATTAGTGTGTTCAACAATTGTACAAAACTCTATATTTTACTCTCAGTACCTGTGTGAGAAAAAAGTGCTTTTGAGAGAATGTACGTTTGAATACCTTGCTTTATAATCAAATTCATTTAAATTCCAGTCATTTACCTTTACTTGCCATTTATCTTTCAATTTATCTTTCTGCAATCTACATTTCTTTCTTTACTTAAAAGAAATCATCACATTCTCTCAATAACTTTGGACAATACTTGAAGAACGTTGTATAAATGTTCATGATAATTAAAACCAAGAACTAATAACAACGCATGTCCTAGGATCAATCTAATCGATCATGTGAATGACCAAAGACTTAGTAACTTTGGAAGACTAGCGGGACTGGTGTTGCTAATTGAAATTTGTAGAAATATTTAAAAAGTTCTTCATTTTTTGTTTTTTGTAGTTTTGTTGCATGAGATTAAGAAGTGGTAAAGTAACCACTGATAACAAAGCGAGACCAAGAAAGAGACGTGTACGTGTAACAATGGCGAATCATCCAAGTAGTAATGAACCACCCCCTCCTTCGACGGGGAAATGACAACCACAACGTCTGCGGCTGAAGTGGTTCCATCCACAGCAAGTACGATGGTAGTACCGTCGAATGCTTATGGTGGACCTATATTATCCTCTATGAGAACTCAGGGCAGCCATTAACTCCTCCTCCAGTGGGGATTGGTTCTTTCAGACCTTTTATGTCTAGATTTACAATACTCTTAAATGATAGAGAACAACCATATGGTATGCTAACTTCAATGATGGCTAATTTACATAACACAACTGCAGTGTTCGACTACCTAGTGGTGAATACATTTTCGCCAGTGCAAGGGTATGGTTCTGCCGTGAACAATCTGGGTCGAAATAATCTACCCCAAGGATGGGATTCTCCACCCAGATGCCTAATTTTACTATGAATTCTCCAGCGGTGTTGAGACAGCAAATGGACGAAAGTAACCATGACATGGTCCATATATTGGCCCAATAAATGGGCACTATATTTAATCCGTTGATTCAAAACATCACCCAAACGAATCAACAATTGCCAGCGCAGATGACTAGAATTGCAGATTTCTTTGGAGTTCCACAAGCCCCTCGATAGATTCGAAGGGATGTAATAGTCGAAAACCAGGGGGCAATCCTTGAAGAAGACCCTATAATTAATCAAGTCCAACAAAATGGACCCCGTGTCGAAGTGGCTGATCAAGGAGTTAGGGTCGAACCTCCTAGGGCCGATCAACCAGTTCCAAGGGAACAGGAACCAAGGGTGGTGATAGTCAATAGGAATCAAAATGCAGACGTAGTCACACATCAAGTTCGAAATGATGGTATGGCTGGAGATAATAATTTGGCTGCCATGTTCGAAAGGATTATGGCGCGAAATGGGGTAAATGTTGGCCTTCATAGGCCAAATTATATTTCCTCATTGTTTGATTACATCCTGCAAACTCGTTTGTCCAGGGGATTGAAACTCCCAAAATTTTACAAAGTTTTCAGGAGATGCTAGTGATTCAATCGTCGAACATGTGGCGGGATACCTGACTGAAGCATGATATCTTGCCAATGACGAATACTTAAGAACTAAGTATTTTCCTAGTTCGCTCACTAAAAACGTTTTCACATGGTTTACTACACTCTCAGCAAGTTTGATCCATGATTGAACTCGTTTAAAAAGATTGTTCCATGAGCAATTCTACATGGGACTGTCGAAGATCAACCTTAAAGAGTTGGCTAGCATTAAGCATAAATTTTCTGAGTCAATCAATGACTACCTTAACAGGTTCTGTTTGTTAAAAGCAAGGTGTTTCACACAAGTGCCTGAACATGAGTTAGTCAAAATGACCACTAGAGGGTTAGATTATTCCATCAGGAAGAAGTTGGATACCTGGTATTTGAGAGATATGGCACAGTTTGCTGATAGGATTCGGTAGGTAGAGTGTTTAAAGGCTGAAAAAGCCATAGCAACTAGAATAATATGAGGGAAATGGTAGCTTACGTTGATATATATGAAAATGATCAAGAAGTGTATAGTGACCTTGTAGACTTCGACGAAAATGAAATTAATCTGGATGAACTAAAGCAAGGGTCACCTTATTCTTGTAGGGTCCTTGCACCTTCAAATGGAAAAAAATCCCATCGAACTAGATAAAATCGATAAGTTCCCTAAAAGAACATATACCTTCGACGTCATTAAATGTGACGAGATTTTCGATCTATTAGTTAAAGATGACCAAATGATAGTGCCTCCTGGTGCTAAAATGCTTCTGTTAGAGCAACGAAAGAAACATGGCTTTTGTAAATATCATAATTTTCTTAGCCATAAAACTTCACAATGTTTCATTTTCAGGGATTTGGTGCAAAACACTATTAAGGAGGGAAGGCCGAAGTTCAGAGACAAGACAAAGACTCAAATGAAGATTAATCCAGATCCCCTTCAAGTATGAGACACACACTACACTAAGTCAGCCATCATTAACATGTTCGAAGCTTTTGAGAGCTGCTACTAAGTCGAAACTACTAAATATTTTAAGAAAGAAATGAACGAGGCAAAAATTGTTGAAGGCCTTTTGGTCGAAGACGTTAATGAAGTTGTTGAAGGCTTTAATGTCAAAGACACAATTGAGGCTACCAAGGGCCTTAAAGTTGAGAAAATTGAGGTTGTTGAGGGCCTTAAAGTTGAGAAAGTTGAGGCTACTGAGGGCCTTGAAATTGAGAATGTGAATGAGGTCACTGAGGGCCTTAGGGTGAAGTTAGAAGGGCTAAAGATCAATGATGGTGCCAACTTGGAGGTCCATATGGTTGAAGTAAGTGGTGAAAGACATGTCGACAAAGAGAGGGCTCGTCGAAATGAGCAACAAATGGGGGTAGCCTACCCTAAAGATGATGAAACCTTGATGGAATTCCTTCAACATTGTCAGAAGAAGAGATCTGAGGTTATGTTGTGCCCCAAGTGCAGTTTGGTGTATGATAAGAAAGCAGCTGGAAATCTTGAAAGGTTCGAATAACCAGTCGAAAGGAAAACTGGAGGGATACTCGTAGTAATTTTACCTTTGACAAGAGGGGGGTCCCTCAAAGAATGGAGCAGGGAGGCCCAACTCTGCAACCAAATAGGCATTCTACTTTTAAGCCAACTATTGATGCACCCGAAGGAAAATGGGTAAGACCTGCTGAAAGAGGAGAAAAAGGCCAAGAAAAGTGGCTGAGCTTCGAGGTAGAGAGAGGTTCTTAGATGGCTTATGGGAAGAAGTTTCAGGTGTCAAAGCAACAAGCTTACTGGCCTGAAAACTACAAGGGAACAAATCATATGTTGAGGTCGCAATGGTGCAGACAACAAAGAAGGAGAAAGGTTGAGAGGGAGGCAAATAAAAGGTGATGGTTGCATCAAGTACTAATGTGCCTTCAAAAAATAATAGTGTCGAGGAAAAGAAACCTGTGGAAAGGAAACAATTTCCTAATCAACTAGAAGATCTCAAGAGTAAGTCGATGGATATAGCAAATAATGAGGACATGTTGACTGAAAATTTCTTAGATACAAAATCAGAAGCTTCGTTGGATATAGCTTGCAACGTGGTTTCTGTGCTGCCTAGAGAATACGACCAGATTACTGAAGTCGAAGAACATGATGATGTAAAGGAAGTTGAAATGGTTAGGCATAAGCTAGTTTGTTATTATGTTATGAATAATGGTTGCGTTGAAGAGCAAAATGCCTTCTTCGTGAGGCCAGATGAAGCTATGAGGAGTCACCTTAAGCCTTATTTTTATCAGAGAGAAGGTTGAGAATCTGGTAATTAGTAATATTCTTGTAGACGATGGAGCGACAATTAATTTTATGTTGTATTTTATGATACAAAAGGTAGGCAAGTTTGATACGGACCTTAAACCCCACAATATGGTCTTATCAAATTATGAGGGCAAAATTGCACACTCTGTGTGTTATTCAATTAGAGTTAACGATTGGAACAATAACTAGACCAACGATGTTTATGGTTGTCGAGTCGAAGGCTAACTATAATTTGTTGTTGGGACGAGAATAGATCCATGGTATATGTGCAGTACCATCCTTAATACATCAGAGGATCACCGTATGGCGAGATGATGGCATCATGGAGAATATTGAGGCTGATTAGAGTTATTTCTTAGTTGAAGTGAATCGTGTAGATAGAAGGAACTTTGATAGGAAATTGACAAATATTTCCCCTTGTCGACCTGCAGACTTTGTATTCGACCCTACAGATGCGGCTTACTACTCCTTTCACTTAGACCCAACTTATGGGTTCCAATGGGATCGAGAGGTTGTTGGTCAGAACCTCGAATTCAAAGGGACATCGTACATCCAGCCAACTGGCTAGGGAGATGAGTTTGATGAACATATCTGAGTTAAAAATAATGGAAAAGATTTTGGCTTATGTAGCCGAAAATAGATTAAAAGCAGCCTTAGAGGCCGAAGTTAAATATTTGGTTATCGAAGCCAAAGAAAATTAAAAGCACCTTAAGAGGCCTGGCATAAACTTTGAACCAGAGCCACCTGATAAGGATGAACGAGAAATGCAAGGTCAGAGGCTCAACGCAATTTATGGCGAAAAGCCTTTGGGATTTGAAAGAGACCCGATGACACCCAATATAAAGATGCTAGCGCATGATCCTTTAATCTAGGAAAAGGTACAGAAAAAAGGTCAACGTACATTAGTGCGAACCTTGGCCCAGAACTCAAGGTCGAAGTGATTCAGCTTCTGAAGGAGTATAAAGGTTGTTTTGCTTAGGATTACAGCGAAATTCCAAGATTGAGTAAGGAGTTGGTCGAACTAAAGTTGTCCATCAAGCCTGGAAGGAAACCAATCAAGCAAAATCCAAGGAGATTTGCACCAGAGAATTTGTCGAAGATCAAGCAGGAAGTCGAAAGACTTCTTAGATGTAAGTTTATTCGTACTACTAGATATGTTGAATGGATTGCTAATATAGTCTTTGTTATTAAAAAGAATGGGATACCTAAAACATTTACAACTGACCAAGGATCAGTGTTTACTGGTCTAAAGGTCCATGAGTTTGCCAAAGATATAAGGATCAAGTTGTTGACATTGACACCTTATTATGCTCAGATGAATAGTCAGGTTGAGGCAGCAAATAAGGTGGTCATTAGACTAATAAAGAAGCATGTGAGGGGAAAGTCAAGAAATTGACATAAGACTTTAGACCAAATTTTATGGGCTTGTCGGACATCCCCTAAAGAGGCTACAAATGTTACAACTTTTCGACTGATGTTTGGACATGATGCAGTGTTACCAGTCGAGGTTTATCTTCAATCAATTAGGATTCAAAGACAGAGCGAATTGTCATCTAAAACTTATTAGAGCATGATGTTGGGTGGGTTGGTTGATTTAGATGAACAAAGTTAAGTGCTTTGGAATTACTGAAGAGCCAGAAAAAGGGAGTAGAGAAGGCGTACAATAAGAAAGTAAAAGTCAAGTCATTTTCGACTGGAGACTTAGTTTGAAAAGTAATTTTTCCTATGGACAAGAAAGATAGAATTTTGGGTAAGTGGTTCCCAAAATGGTAATGTTCATTTCAAGTGGTGCAGTTATTTTCTAATAATGCGTATGAAATCGAAGAATTAGCTGAGGATCGAAGACTTCTGAGAGTAAATGGAAAATATCTGAAGAGATATAGGCCTATGCTACAGGAAATTTTCGGTCATTTTGCCCCGTTTTCTCGTGTACCAACTCCTACCTATAAAGTACCTGAAACAGACATAAAGTATCAACATAACACTACAAAAAGGTGACAAAATGACATTAAATGCTAAGTGAATTGAGTCGAAAAATACAATATATTATGTGATTATCCTAAGCAGAATCAATTTGATTTTATGTTGATATTCAACACCCCCTAAAATTAATATAGAAAGCTTGAAAACCATGGCATCAAACTCTCTCTTTGATCGATTATTTGTGAGAACACCTTCTACTTGACTATTAATAAGTATGTAGGACATACAAATCTCATCATTGTCGATTTTTTATTAATGAAATGGTTCCAATTTAAAATATTGTGTTCTAGGACAAGATTATGAATATACACTAATAAAAGAAAATTATATTAATTTGAGTAGAACTAAATTTGAATGAGAGGAGAGGAAACACACCACTAAAGATATAATAATAATAATAATAATAATAATAATAATAATAATAATAATAATAATAATAATAATAATTCATAAGAGAAATTGCATATATAGTCAATAGACACATTTTTTCTCATACATTTCTTTCCCTCTTATTTCTTTAGTATTAAGTAAACCAACCCACAAACCAACTAAAACATTCTTTCTTGCTTCAAGAAAGATCCCTTTGAGACAAACTAAACAAGGTCACATTTTTCTCTCTTTATCACTATCTCTTTCTTAACTCATCCTTCCTTGCTTTATTTTCTCATATATTTTCTTCCATGCATATTCTAGACTTTAGTTTCTCTTTATATATATGAATCTTCCACTAGATTTTTCAATAGTATTTATTCATGGTAACTGAAATATATGATTATTATTACTATTATTATTGATTAACTCTTTATAGGCTCTATTTTCTCTGAGTTTTTGACATGGAAGGGTTAACTCCAAGTTCATGCACTAGGGCTGAAATATTAGAGAAGAAAACAAAAACAGAAGAAGCATTGAATTGTCCAAGGTGCAAATCAACAAACACAAAGTTCTGTTATTACAACAACTATAGTCTCACACAACCAAGATACTTGTGCAAAACTTGCAAAAGGTATTGGACACAAGGCGGTTCACTAAGAAACATCCCTGTTGGAGGTAGTTCTAGGAAGAACAACAAGCTCATGACATCATCAGATATATCTTCATATAACATGATTAAAAGCCATGATCTTAGTTTAGCTTCTAATTCTGTTCCTAATTCCTTGATGATGATGGTGTCAAGTTCAAGCTCAAATGGTCAATATCATCCATGGTTCTCCATGCAGGAAATGAAACCAAATCTTGGATTTTCAGTTGGAGAGATGAGGCAACTTTGTAATACAAATGATCATGTTGATCAAGTGGAACATAATGAAGAACAAGAAAATTCAACAAGGTATAATTGGAATGGAGTCATAGGTGAAGGGTCATCATGGTAAATATGTTTGTTTTTAAAGATTTTGTTCAAGTGACTTTTGAAGAATAAGGAAAGACTCAAATATTCAAAGGATGTATTATATATATTAATTGGTAGAGTGCTTTGTGCACTATTTTTTATTAATATTTCTATGATTGATCTTGGTTCTAGGCAAAAATTAGTGGAGTTGCCAGCTCTAATATATACATATCTAAAAACCATCACATTTCCAACTATGAAGGCGCTTAATGGAATTATTTGTTACAATTTTTTATGTTTATATTTTGTGGGTTATAATCTATTGGAAATTTTAATTAATTCAGCAAAGACTTGAGGGTCAGAATTACAACAACTCCTATGAGAAAGAAAAATGCATTATTTCGCTATTTTAGAGGGACCCTCAAATATTCTCTTAGGTCAAATAGAAATCATTTCATCACCCCAATGTCAATGCAAGACAATTAATTAACTAATGTGTTTTTATTTTATTTTATCATGATCTTCAAATATTTTTAATTTTATCACCCTCAAATATTTTTATTTTTCATTTCCGATAGGCTTAATTGGCAGACAAATTTTCCTAGACCACAAAATCCTGTCATCATGGTGGTCATCTCAAAGGCAATAGAGACAATGTTGCCATTTCAAAATCTGGCATCGTCTCTTAACAGAAAACAAAAAGTAAGGGAGAAAGGTTATAAATGGTGAAGACACTTATTATTTCATTTTACTAATGACTTTATTCTATAGACAGCAAAAAAATCTAGTGGCAAACTGTAAAAAATCAAAGTAAAAGACATAACAAACCATTAAAACTCTCATAGTATATTGTGATCGTAACCTACATTAGTTCATTTTACTAACGAGTTCGTTGATGAGATCCTCACGGCTACCTGCATCTCCACCATCCTTGTATGGGTTGTCGATCCTTTCAACAAAGTGTGGGCCAACATTGTCGATTTGATGCACAATATCTTCTATGCATACAATACTGAACTTTCCTAGTTCCTGCATAGCAAAACGTGCAAGAATAACAAAAACAATTAAGTCATAGTTAAAAGAAAACTAATAGGAATCAAGTAACACCATGTATTTACCTGTTCAATAATGTTATTATCTGTCAAAGGAACTTTCTCCTTTTTTGTTGGAATTGCACTACAACTGCTTCACTGGTTTTCCTCTTCTTCAGTATAATCTCTGGAATATAGTTGCCAGAGTTTGGGTCCACTTCAGCCATCTTTTCAAGTCTTGACTGCATTCACAACACAATAGCTCATTTAGACTTACCCAGTAAGAAACGACAGTGACAAGAGAGAAACTTGACAGCATTATATCATATAACAGGAGCAAAATAGACTGAGAAAACTGAAAGAAACAGAAAGTTTTCCCCTTCCCTAATTTGTACACTCAAGTGGAACTTCAACCAACCCTGACTCATAATTTTGCACCCTCCCACCTCCCCCTCAATTAGATTATCTTTTGAGTAAACCACCAAATTTGTTCCTGACTTTCTAAGACGCTCTCAAATAGGTTCTTTTATTCTGTCAAAAGTTACTCACATGCATCATTTTGCCAAACTTCAGATATATAAACCACCACGTTGGTCCATATAGTCCCCTAGTGAAACAACATTAACCAACAGACTTTGTCAAAATGACAGATATCAGTTACATTTGATTAACCAACAGAGATTTTTTTAGTTAAATTTTGTCCAGACTTGGTCCGATGCTGCAGCAAACAAACCTTCACAAGGACCATAATCCATTTTGGTCTCCTTGCTCGTCAAGCTGAGGAGAAACCACTCCTTGCTATCATCACATCATCAAAATTTCCGGAAGAATTACCTTTAAAATGCCTCCTAACAGTTTGCATCTGCATCATTCACATCAGGAACTAGAAGAATCGTAGAGACTCATCCTAACAGACTCTCTCATGAGTAAGACAGTGTTGTCATGCTACATAGGCAAGGCAATGTACTTATTCTCTATTTGAACTAATATCTCAGAATTGCTAAAAAATAATATATGAAATCATCTAACATAGAAAAGGTGATGTGGATCCAAATGAATGTACAAGGATCTTTGATGTCTACTGTAAATTTTACAAGTAACAAATTTTAACAAACAAACAAAAGAAAAATGGTTTTCTCCGCTGCACGGTAAAATGGTTCGGTTACTATTGAAAGTTAGGATCGCATTAATTCTGTGATACCAAAAGAAAAATCAACTCATAGGGAAAGATCTTACAATTTAAACATTGCTACTAGTAACAACAACAAGTATTACTACTATTACATCCCATTCACAACCTGAGTAGCTTGACACTAACTATAATGGCAGAATACATGAAAAAAGAAAATAAAAAAGGCCTTATACATTAGTTCAGTAGATGTAAAATAAAGATTCATATCGAAAATAAATAACACATACAGAACTTGCATGTCGAAAACGACGAATTAATGTTAGCTAAATCATAAGGTAATCAGTGAGGTCGAAGTTTCATCATGAACTACCTCCTCCTCCTCCTCAGAGCAAGTCCATCCCAAGTTCACGGCCAAGTCTTCTACTCCGACTTTGATCACGTCACTTCTAACACCAATATCAGTTGCATATCTACTCACGCAGTACATTCCAGCGGTTACCGTAGCGATACCGACAGGACTTGGCATTAACAATTTGAGAGGAGACGAAAGCATAGCAGCCAACGGAGCACCGATAGCAGAAGAAGCTTGACCGCTTCTTCCAACTCCTTGCTTCTCAACAATCAAAAGACCAGTTTTGCAGTACATTGCAAAATCCTCACAGTTGTTCTGAAAAACATCATAGTTACCGAAACCGTTTTGAAGGAGATACATGGCTCGATGGATAACAGTCTCAGGCGGATCAGGTAATGCAGTAGTGCATGTGCCGCCTCTTATTCTGGTAAGAAAAACGGTTGGGGAAACACCGTATTCAAAACAGTAAAGAGAACCGTTGCGAAGGAAGCAGTCTAAGCAAGATAGAACGACTCCACTATTGGGCTGCCGGAATCCACAGTCAGGAAAGGTCGGGCACGGCGTTGGATCGTCAAAGTTGGAAGATGTCTCGGTGATTGACTTGAAGTTTCGATCGGGTCTGAAATGAACAACCTTGCTCCCCCCAACAAAAACTCCTGCACGAAAATGAGATAGGTGAGGAAGATCTGCATTTGGAAAACGATTGAAAAATGAAAATGCATATAATAGAGGAGAAGAGAGAGAGACCGTGATGAGAGTAGGTGAAAACAGCTCTGTAAGTGTAGATATGATCGCCGGGTTTGATTTCATGTGTTTCAATTCGGTTAGAAATCAAACCCATTTTTTGATTTCTCTGCAACTTCCAGGACAAAGAGTGAGTGAGTCTGAGTCTGCAACTGTTGATTTCAATAGTATTGAAATTGGCCCCACCCACCTATACACATATCAATCATGATCCATTTGTTTGTGTTTAGTTTTTCTACTCCTCAATCACTACTATTATAATAATACCGTTAAATATTGGGGAATGGGGATGTGGGTGCGTGGCAATATAAAATAAATAAATACTTGTTATGTTACTCACTCACTCACTCAACAAACCTTGTTTCTTCTCTCTTCTCATCAACAACTCCACCAACCGATCCTATGTTTGTTAATCAATCGCCATAACGCTCGATTTTCCACTTTTTACGGACTAAGACGTAACGCAATCCGGCTTTTCCCTGTATTACGATTACAAGCCTTTCTTTTTTTTTTTTTTTTTTTTTTCAATTTACACTAATTAATATGCTTCATTTTGCAAAAATAATTTAAAGAATACATACTAGTACTATAAACAACAAAAGAAAATTATTTTAAAAGGTATGTTTAATAATTAATTTTCTGTGGGGGAATATGAAATGTGAGATGAATCGTTGTGATTGACTTTTAACCCTTAGGATACTAGAGCATCTGGGATAACTTTTGAGGAGAATTGGACCTTTGATAGTGTTTTCTTCTCTCCTAGATATAAGAGATTATGTTGCCCTTGTGTTGGAAGTACCCATAAAAACTTATTAGCTTATTTTTTTCAAATTGTTTCGTCATTTGAAGTTCTAAAGTGTTCTTATTTTCCTTCATTTTATTTGTGATCACCACCAAAATTATTGGACTCCTAGCTTTGCTCGTATTGTAATTTCCTTCGACGTTTGTCCTTAGTTTCACTGTCCTAAACGTAAAGTTTATTTTCTTGACCGTGCCTTTAGTGATGTGGGATCTTCCTCTGACTTAAGGGGTGTTGACACTAGACATGGATAAGAGGATATGTAGTGAATACGATAGGTGTGTCACCCCCTTTTGTGAGTGCTTATTCTTTATCTTGGATTTTCGCCTTTCTTTAAATGATTTCAATATTAGCGTCTTGAATCATTTGAAGATTACTCCCTCACAGATGCACCTGATGGGTTGGGCGTTTATTAAGGCTTTGCAACATTCGTGTGAATATCAAAGGGGTGTGTCAAACTTACCATTCTTCTTTCACGTTTCTCCCCTTACGAGGGATTCCAAGTTGATATCCATTGTTTTGTCTTTCCAATTTTTGCTTTGGTCATGTTGTAAAGCTTTATGGGTTCTCTTTGCTCCAGCTAGGTCAACGTTGATAGTCACTAGTTATTTGTTTACATTATGATACTTAAGATTGAAATGCATTGGGGAAGCTATCGCGTCTAATGTAGTCGTGAAAGGCTTGCATATGATGTAATTATAGACGCTCCTGCAAGAGACCACTAGAAATTGTAGATCGACAGTTCGGGTATCCCTTCCTTCTCTTATGGTGACCACATCTCAATGTACCCTCATACGTGAGTCATGGTTCCATTGAAAGCTTTTCAATCATAGCCCTCATACAACCAAAGCTTTTCCTTCTTCATTCCTAGTTTTTTGAAGAGTTGATTTGTGACACCTTAAAGCCTAAATTTATTTTATAAAGTATGATTTGCGGAATATTTATTTTGATATAACGAAACATATAGTTTAATAATGCATAATTCACTCAAACAGGGAATCACATTAATTCGAATCAACGTAAACATTTGTCGTAATTGAGTAGTTGTTCAAAACATTAAAACAATACATAATACTTTAAAAATATGAATTTTGACGTAGATGTCACAATACCAGAGCCTTATTGCAATCCAAACATAATAGTTGACTTAGCAGTTCAACATACATAAACACATAATAAAATTTAATGGAGTGATTGGTCTTCTACACCATCCTTAATATTCGTAGAACAATCCGACTATTTCTCTGTCTCAACCTGAGGATGTTCTGCACATAGATTCATATCATGGAAACATAGAAACAGATGAGTGAGAATACATTCTACAATTTATAAGGCTTATTAACAGTAAAAGGGTAATACAAATCATGACACACAATCAATAACATATTCGTATTACATTACATCGAGTCATAAAACATTAGACGGAGTCATACAACACTTCAGAACATACACATTAGTGCATATGCAATGCACTTTATTCTCTACTTCTTATGCATATGATAACAATAACTGGAATTGTGGCATATTCTGGGAGTACATGTGGGCTACATTGCGTACCACAACACTCTTCATGAGTTCTATAATTTAGGAGTACATGTGAGCTACGTTTCGTACTACAATACTCTTGCTAAACTCAATAGTTTAGATGTACATTAAAATACATATGTGTTATAACACTTTTGCTAAACTCAAACATACTCCTACTCTAGTATGATGCATGATCTAACACACATCAATTTCTCGCAAACCTCCTTCCTCTTTTGAACAACATTCACCTTGATTGCCACATTAGAGTTTTCCAATAGTTTTACCAAACACTGGACTCAAAACCTATTTTACCTCACAATTATTTATCAATCACAGTATTACACATACATACAATTATTGTGAAAATTTACCACAAGATGTATCTTTAAATTAGCTTTCTAAGGCAATTGATCCCGCCTAAATCGGAGCTACCAAACTCAAATTATGTCAATTTTGGTTCTGTCTCATACCAAAAATAAAATTCGCTACGGTCTGGCGGTAGCTAATACTACGGTCGTAGTAAGGAAACACACACCATTCTCATGTAGAAAGTAGAAACAACTACGGTATGGTCGTAGCTAATGCTATGGGTCGTAGCAAAACCCCTTACCTTGTGTTTGTAGAAATTTTCCGCAGAGCTCCTAACAACGAAAGCAGCTCTTCCTTACGCCAGCTATTGCAAATCTTTTGATGAACTTTGGAGTGATAGAGTTTTCTCAGAGCACGTAACTTCTTATTTTCTCTTTCTTTCTCCGACCTTTCTTTTTTTCACGTTTTTCTCTCTTTTCCCCTAAAAATCATATTTTTATTTCTTTATTTCTCACTAACCTGGTCCCTTCAATTCCTTTCTCCCATTACCTCTACTTTATTTCTAATTTATTAAAATAAATTAAATTAGTTATATAAATTTTAATTAATCATATAATAATAATAATAATGTTAATAATAATAATGACAACAATATTTTTTTTCCTTTTTTAATTAATAATAATAATAATAATGATGAATATTATGAAATAATAATAATAATAATAATAATAATAATAATAATAATAATAATAATAATAATAATAATAATAATAATAATAATCTAATTATATTGGGGTGTTACATTAGCATACAAGATATTGCAGGAACTTCCACCATCAATGAGAATCCTAGAAAAATCATTGTTGACCATGGTAGGTGTTATGATCATAAGTAATATATCATTTAGAATGTTTTCCATTTTTTTTTGTCTAAGAATCTGAGGAATGGTCTTTCTAGCTTATTGACTGAGGTTTCTCCTTTTTCTTTACTAAGGGTTATCGTCTCGACTATCCTCTTTTTAATAATGTCTTTTGAAGGATTGTTCGGTCGTATGACACTGTCCGTTACAAAAACAATGTCAATACGGTTTCCCCTTCGATCACCTTCCTCTCCATTAGCCACAACTTCAGTGACCTTTCTATGGGATGTCTCGTCCTTTTGAAGAGACTGCCTCCTTTTAGGTGAATCTTCTCAATTTTGGGTGTTCCCCTTCCTTCCTTAGCTATCTTTTATATTGTTGTCTCAGGTGTATTCGGTCAGGCGCCCCTTCTTTATTAACTTTTTAATGGAACCCTTCAGCTAGACTTAGCCATTAATGTTGTGGTTGTAACTTTTATAAAAACGGTAGTATTTTGATTTGTTTGTTGTGTTAGACTCTTTAAATGGATAGGGAAGTTATATCTTGGCCTCTTTGAATTATGTATTGGTGCACTTACGTAACATCTTTTCTCTGGAAGTTTTCAAAGGGGTATAAGAGGAACCTATCGATCAGGACCTTCACTTCCATTTATCTATCTGCATTTAGCATCTTTCTCGGACTATTTAGCACACACTTGAATTTTCCCTAGGATCTCCGGATCAGTTAGGAAATTTTCCTCCTAGTTTATATATGGTTGAAACTTGTCCAACAATTCACCCATGTTGACCGCTTCTTCTAGCTCCAACTTCTCCTTAAAGCATATAATCTTCTCCAAAACCCTTCTTAAAGATACAACACTTTAAACCGTCATCTCGACTCCTACCACCAAGATCACTTTGATGAATTTGTTAATGTATTCCTGAAAGGTCTCTTTCTTGCCTTGTTTAATTTTAAATGATAAGTCATTCGTGAAAGGTAACAAATCATTACGTACAAACTTTTATAGAAATTTAAAGATTCAAAACATATGAGTAACTCATATATTATTGCAGTAAAAAAAATTTATTTTCATTTGAGGGCGATAACAAAATGATTTATAGTTAATATCAAACAATTGAAGGAATGACACAATCCAAGAGATTCCATCAATTATAAATGGGGATTACTTTTCTCACCCTTAAGGGTGCTCCCTTACCATCATGAAAAGTTCCAAATGCCCATAGAATTCGGAGATGCATCTCTGAGCCCACCTTTTTACACACCGCCCTACACAAATTGATGAGAAATCCTTATGTTGTTAAAAATTAATCCAGAGATGCATCTCTGTATCAACCTTTAATGTTTTAGATATGCATCTTAGGAATATGCTCTATTAGCTCAAACCAGAAATAGCCAGGAACAATGGTAGAAAACAATGGCAGAATAATGGAAAAACAACATAAATTAACATCAAAATAAACATTACATAAATAATCCTTATGTTAACATAAATTTAACATTTAACTCCATCATAAACTGGTGGTTCAGGACGTTGCAACATCCTTATGATATCTTCGGTTAATCTTGCAATCATCACATCCACTTCAATTGGAGCCTTTGTTGA